TTGATAACATTTACCATCTGAAAATTAAGAACTTCCCCAAACCCTGCATTTCTTTTAAAACACATTGATCGTGAACTATGCATAGGTATAATCTACCACAATGGCTGATGTTTTTACTGTTTCTGAATGTTGAATACACTCAGTTTTTCATCCATGTATACATACATACACTAGCAGATAAACCAGTGCTGCAAGTATTTCTTGTATCCTGCAGTATATTATGATTAAGGGATCTGGTAGACAGCTTCTCTAACTCAGTCACATCAAGACCTAATCTTTATCCCAATTCCACTTGCAAACTTGGCTGGATAACAGAACTGCAAGTCATAGATCAGGTCAACAGTATCTACAGAAGAAGCCATCAACTAATTTTCATACGTGTACCAAAAGACATGAGTAGTCAGTAGCAGATATGCTGCTACATGAAGAAAAATTTCATTAACTATTACAGGTATATCTTCTTACATACAAAGAACAAAATTCAGTACTACAACAGCAATTTAAGAATGTATCTAAGGGTACTACAGCATATAGCATTTTATTTTTGAAAAATACCTAATTTGAATGAAAGAAGCAAATGCAGTAAACGCTGCATAGCAGATGTTTGAGAGAATTTGCTGTAATTGCACACCAAATAGAAGTTTAAGCCACTCAACACACTAAAAGCATTGCGCCTAGATGCAGAGAACTGTTTCTCAAAAAAAAAAAAAAAAAAAAAAAGATTCAACTATAGGGAAGGACTAGGGAAGTGTTTGTCCCCCTGTACTCAGCACTGGTTAGGTCACACCTTGAATACCTTGAATACTGTGTTCGGTTTTGGGCCTCCTCACTACAAGACAGACATTGAGGTACTGGAGTGTGTCCAGAGAAGGGGAACGAAGCTGGTGAAGGGTCTGGAGCACAAGTCTTATCAGGAGCAGCTGAGGGAATGGGGGTGATTTAGTCTGGAGAAAAGGAGGCTGAGGGGAGACCTTATCGCTCTCTACAACTACCTGAGAGGAGGTTGTAATGAGGTGGGGGTTGGTCTCTTCTCCCAAGTAATAAGTGATAGGACAAGAGTAAATGGCCTCAAGTTGCACCGGGGGAGGTTTAGATTGGATATTAGGAAAAGTTTCTTCACAGGAACGGTTACCAAACATTGGAACAGGCTGCCCAGGGAAGTGGTGGGAGTCACCACCCCTGGAACTATTTAAAAGACATGTAGATGTGGTGCTCAGGGACATGGTTTAGCAGTAGACTTGGTAGTGCTAGCTTAACGGTCAGACTTGATGACGTTAAAGGTCCCTTCCAACCTAGACAATTCTATAATTCTATAAGGTTTTCTAGAAAGTCATTGTTTTTTTAACGTACATCTGAAACCTTACACTAAAATCTAACAGGAAAGAAGCAACCAGCAATAGAAGATTTCTAAAGTATACAATATTGTAATGCCCCAAAAGGCAAAAGAACCAAACCAGTCCTTCTCCACCCCTCTTTCTTTGAACTCTTGCCTATTTTTACAAGCTAACCTTTCCCCTGTGAAGTAACAGTAAGGCCACCACAACTCAAAACCCAGAGAATTCACCTCCTGAGGCCTGTTCCAACCTGAGATAACCCACACTACGACAGAGATCCTTATTCTCCATATGTATTTAAACTATGCCACTGGGAAGCAGGATATACGGCTAAAGGTCTGTGTAAGGCAAAAAGTCTCTGACAGTTTTCTAAACAGTCTATTATCACTTTGTCACAACTTCTAGAGACTGATGCAAAAAATAATTAAAAAACCCCTTTCAGGAATTCAAGACTGATTACAAAATAATCTACAAGTTAGAACAGACTTTTCTTTCCCCCATTTCTAAACAAAAGAGTGAGGGGCTATGCAAAAATACTTCCCCCTGTTTTCAAGAAAGATACATTTCAATTGTAACATATGGTGGACAAAAAGCACTGCTTATTACTGCAGCTTTCAAAATCATTCACCTCCAAGTCAAATGGATGCATTTTTACGTAATGCCTTAGTACAAACATCACATCAGGGTTTATCCTAAAAAGTAAGTACTTAAAATATTAACAGCAACCAGAAATAATCTGAATTTTGAATCTTGAATTCCAACAAGCAAACAAAATAGATTACGCTTTTTGATCTTTTGGTCATATGTAATAAAAGCTGACATGGCCACCAAGGTGCTAATATCTCTTTTGGACAACAAATGAAGGTGATATCAGGTAAAGGTGACATAACTGCATCTGACTGCTAAACAATGTCTCTGTGATAGCTCCTGCTGTTGGACCAATACATACAACAAAAGATGATGCAAAGAATCACTTTTTATGTTATTCCATGCATGTTGGGTTTATAGGAAATTACACAACAGTTCAACAGATAGCATAGATTTCTTCAGAAGTATTGAAGAAACAGATTAAATGTAGTAAGCAGTCAGAGTACTACAACTTAAAAGGCACCATAAAGGGTTTTGAAAAAGCTGAGTCCTTTAGACTGAGCATATAAAACAAGTGGTAACTCAAAACTATAATAATTATTTACAACTTCAATCCTTATTTTGCACTGAAAAAGAAACAATACAACCGAAAGAAAAGTATCTGACAGAATATGCGCAAACCCAAAGCTGACACCAGAGTAAGTCAGCATTCACAACTCACTTCCTTTTAAAATTGTGAAACTACGCTAGCATGATTTTTTTTCAAATTAGACTGTGGCTTTTAAAAACTGTTTTAAATAACCTTCTGCTCTGGCTGGTCCATGAAGTTGGCTTTGTGCTGTTTTATCCTTTCCCAGTCTCTCTAAATGCCTTCACACTCCACCAGCCAATTTCAGACAAGTCTGAAAGGCAGAAGTGTCAAATCCATTGCAGAAGTTTTTTTAAAAAAAACAGTGGGGACAGCATGCATCAGTGTTGCTGCTGAAGAGAGGAGGGCTCAGTCCCTGCTGGATGTGCTGGGCTTGCCCACACACTTTGGCAGTGTAGCTGCAAACACGCTGAAGGATATGCAGGTCAGCCCTTGCTCAAGCAAGAAGGCCAAGCAGAAAGAGAAGAGTATACAAAAAAGTGGAGGGCATTGCAGGGGGAGAGAAGAGAAAAAGAAACAATGTAGGTGATGAGGAAATAGATGGGGAAGTCTGGGGAATACTTGCAGTATGTGATGGGTTTAATCCATCAAACATACAACAAATTCATTGGAAATGTATGTAGCTGTTCCTCGCGCAGTGAAATCTTCCAACTCAGGTGATTTAATGCCTTGCTAAAAGTCTATTTAATTTTCCTCGATTTTACTTGCTAACACTTTAAACACGCACTGAAATAAGCTACAGGCATTCCAAAATCCCCAACTTTTTTCCAGGAGTGTAATTTCACCAACTTCAAAATTAGGACTTGGGCAATGTTCCATGGGCAAAGAAGTGAACGAATCCTTGAAGCATCCTCAATGAAAGCCAGAGAGCAGAAGCTAACTTCAGCAGCTCCAAGGAGGGACAGCAACAAAACACAATTTATATAGGTGTTTATACAACTCTGGTAAGCAACCTACAATACAGAAAAAACTGGGAAATTTCATCTCTGCTGAAACTTGATGGAATTTATGCCATTGACTTTAACAGGACTAAAGTTTGGCTCAGGTATAGTTTGCCTTTTTTTCCCCCCCTTTGAATCTGCCATTTTAAAATTTATCTTCAAAATTCGGATGGTAACATTTTTCTCAAGCCCGAAGTAAAAAATGTACCACATTCCACATTTAAAGACATGTTACTTAAGAGATGTGATAAGGTAGTTAATATCAGGTTTTGATAGCTCCTTCCCAGCCCCTTTTCTTCCTTGGCACAGTCCCAGCTAACTATTATAGGTTACTAATCTTTCAGAGCAAGCTTGTGATGTAACTACCCACTCCCATGGGAGGAGAAGCACTTTCTGAACTATTTCTTTTTAACATGTGCAATTTAATTAAGGCAAACTATGACTATCATTCACATGCTTTAAACTAGTTAATACACAACATAAGAGAGAACCTTAACAGAAAGCAAGAATCAAATCAACATACGATCCTTATGCCAAACTAGTTAGGACAACGTGAAATTTTAGGAGGGAATACTGAAAGCTATTAAATTTAAGTAAAAGAAAGTAGGCAAGGCTATTTTCTTCATACAGAATCACAAAATGGTAGGGCTGGAAGGGACCTTTGGAGACCATCTAGTCCAACACACCTGCGAAAGCAGGTTCACCTAGAGCAGGTTGGACAGGAACGCATCCAGGCGTGTTTTGAATATCTCCAGAGAAGAAGACTCCACAACCTCTCTGGGCAGCCTGTGCCAGTGCTCTGGCACCCTCAAAGTAAAGAAGTTTTCCCTCATGTTCAGATGGAACTTCCTGTGTTCCAGTTTGTGCCCTTGTCCTATCGCTGTGCACCACTGAAACAAGTCTGGCCCCAGTCTCTTGGCACCCACCCTTTAGATATTTATAAGCATTGATAAGATCTCTTTTCAGCCTTCTCTTCTCCAGGCTACACAGATCCAGGTCTCTGTCTTTCCTTATAAGAGAGTTGTTCCATTTCTTTGATCCTCTTTGTAGCCCTTCACTGGACTCTCTCCAGTAGTTCCTTGTCTTTCTTGAACTGGGGAGCCCAGAACTGGACACAGTACTCCAGATGTGG